TTTTAACTTAGCAAGCACTGGTGAATAACTTTAAAAAAAATGATCAAAATTTGGAAACATTACACTTTTTTTGGTTTATTTATTAATGAAAAATAACAGCTTGTTTTATTAATAATACACAACGATTAATGACTACTAGTTGTTATGGTTATTGTCCTAAAAATCGAATTAAAAACTTTAAAAATAGAAAAATAGAAAAATAGAAAAATCGAAGAATCGAAAAATTCAGAAGCTGAACTGAAATATTGAAAAATCAAAGAGTAGAAAAATCGAAAAAAACAAGAAATTGAAAAACCGAAAACCTTATTGAAAAACTGAAAACCTGAAGAATTGAGAAATCGAAAATTTTAAAAATGAAGAAACAAAAATCGAAAAAACGAGAAATTGAAAAATCACAAAACGGAAAGATCGAAAAATTGAAAAATCGAAATATCGAGAAGTCCAAAAATTGGAAAGTTGAAAAGTCGAGAAGTCGAAAAAACGAATAATTGAGAAATCGAAAAGTCAAAAAATTGAGAAATCGAAAAATTGAAAAATCGCAAAACTGAAATATTGAAAAATCGAAACATCGAGAAATTGAAAAATCAAAACTTCGAAAAATTTAGAAATCAGGAAATCAAAAAGTCAAGAAATCGAAAAATAGAAAATTTTAAAGACTGAGAGAATTTGCCACCAAACAGAAAACATCCTTTATTTTATCTTAAGAAGGTTGAAGAATTTTTACTTCATTTCTATACTGTATTCTAGAAGAAGTCTAAGAAGTTTATTCTGAAAGAAGAAGAATTTCTACTTCAGCGTGAAATTAAATTTAGAGAGTTACATATGACGTGACCTCAAACAGATTCTAGAAGCCATAAATGCGGAAAATAGAAAAGGAAATAAAAGAAGAAGAAAGGTGGTCACCACGTTACTGAAGAACTTCAAGATAGGAAATCGAAAAATTGTTTTTTCCAAAGGTCTATGTCCGTTATCTTTGACATTTCTCAACATCTATTTCGAATTTTTCTATTTTTCAATTTTTCGATTTTTAATTTTTGATTTTTCAAAATTTATAGATTTTTCAATTTTTCGATGTCTCAAGTCGGTTTTCAGTTCTTAATTTCTCAATTTGGCCATGTTTAGATTTTTCAGTTTTTAGATTTGTCTGGTTCTCATTTTTTTTTTAGATTTTCAATTTTAGTTTATTGATTTTTAATTTTTCAATCGTACTCTTTTTCGTACTGTGCATTTTTTATTGTTCATCAAATTTTCAGTTTATCGCTTATCAATTTTTGGAATTTTCAACTTCTGATTTTTCAGTGTTTCTTTTCCTCAATTCTGCAATTTTTCAATTTTTGGGTTTTTTAATTTCTCCGTTTTTAATTTTTCATTTTCTCGATATTTAATTTTTCAATTTTTCGATGTCTTACTGTTGCAGTTTTTCGTTTTTCAATTTTGGATTTACAGTTTTCCGATATAATCGAAGTCGAAAAACCGAAAAATCGAAAAATTAAAAAATTGAAAAATCAAGAAACGAAAATAAAATTGAAAAATCGAACACATGATGAATCGAAAAATTGAAAAATCAACATATCGAAAAGTAGAAAAATTAAAAACCGAAAAAATCAAAACTTCGAAAAAAATGTGAAATCGAAAAACCGAGATATCTGAGAAATTGAAAAATCTAAAAAATCGAAAAATTGAAAATTCGAAAAATCGAGACATCGAAAGAGATCCAAAAATAGGGAAATTGAAAAATCAAAAGTCGTATAGTTGAAAAATCGAGAAATCGAAAAGTTGAAAAATTGACGAAGAGAGAAAATGAAAACTATAAAAAAATCACAAATTGAAACACTGAAAAATAAAAAAATAGAAAAACAAGGAATTGTAAAACCGAAAACTTAAAAAATTGAGAAATAGAAATTTTGAAAAACCATATATCGAGAAATCGAAGTTGAAAAATTGAAAGATCAGGAAACAAAAATCGAAAAATCGAAATACCGAAAAATTGAAAAGTTGAGGAATTAGAAAATTCGAAAGTGTCGAAAAAAATGTAAAATCGAAAAGTCGAGAAATCGGAAGAATTTTAAAAATTGAAAAGTCGATAAACTGAGAAATCGAAAAGGCGATAAATTGACAATTCGAAGTGGAAAATTTGAAAAATCGCAAAACTGAAATATCCAAAAATTAAAAACTCGAAGTATGGAGAAGTTCAAAAATCGAGAAATCAGAAAATCTAAAAATTGAAGAACAGCAAATTCGAAAAACCGAGATGACAATAGAAATCGAAAAGACGAAAAACTGAGAAATCGAAAAGTCAAAAAGTCGAGAAATCGAAAAATTAAAAAATCGCAAAACTGAAATATTGAAAAATCGAAATGCCGAGTCGAAAAATCGAGATGTAAAAACAAAACTTCGAAAAATTCAGAAATCACGAAATCAAAAAGTCGAGAAAGCGGAAAATGGAGAAAAATTAACCTAATGAAAGTTTGTACAAAAGTTTAGAGCATTAAAAAAAAATGTTTTTCTAGAAGAACTTGAAGATAGGAAATCGGAAAAATGAGATCTCAAGTAATTGAAAAGTCGAAAAATCGGGAAATCGTACAATTTAGAAATTGAAACATTGAAAAATCAAAAAGTGGAAAAATTGAAAAATCGAAGTCGAAAAATTGAAAAGTAGAAATGTCGAAAAATGGAGAAATCAAAAAGTTGAAAAATCAAGAAACAAAAATCGAAAAACCAGAAATTCAAAAATCGAAGAAAACCGAAAGAATCGAAAAATTGAAAAATCAACGTATCGGAAAAGTCGATAATAAGAAAAACCGAAAAAAATGTGAAGTCGAAAAACCAAGATGTCGAAACGTTGAGAAATTGAAAATTCGAAAAATCGGGACATGGAAATTGATTCAAAAATCGGGAAATTGAAAAATCAAAAAGTGGAATAGTAGAAAAATCGAGAAAACGAAAAAATCGAAAAAATAATCGAAATATCAAAGACTTGTGAAATCGAAAAAAAAAAAATCGGGGATTCGAAAAATTCAGTAATCGAAAAACCGAAAACCTGAAGAATTGAGAAATCGAAAATTTGAGGAACCTTATATCGAGAAATCAAAGTTGAAAAATTGAAAGATCAAGAAATAAAAATTGAAAAAAACGAGAAATTAAAAAATCACGAAACTGAAATACCAAGAAATCGAAAAGTCGAGAAATTAGGAAATCGAAAAATCGAGAAATCGAAAGAATTGGAAAAATCTAAAAATTGAAAAATCGAAGAATCGAAAAATTCAGAAATTGAAACACTGAAGAACAAGAACAAGTAGAAAAATCGAATAATGAGAAATTCAAAAACCGAAAATCTGAAGAATTGAGAAATCGAAAATTTGAAAAACCTTATATCGAGAAATCGACGTTGAAAAATTGAAAGAACAAGAAACAAAAATCGAAAAAACAAGACATTGAAAAATCACGAAACTGAAATATCGAAAAATTGAAAAATCAAAATACCGAAAAGTCGAAAGGTTGAGAAATTAAGAAACTGAAAAATCGAGAAATTAAGAAACTGAAAAATCGGAAAATTAAGAAACTGAAAAATCGAGAAATTATGAAACTGAAAAATCGAGAAATCGAAAAAAATGTGAAATCGAAAAGCTGAAAAATCGAAAGAATTTGAAAAATCTAAAAATTGAGAAATTTAAAAAGCGATGAATTGAGATATCGAAAAGGCGATAAACCGAGAAACCGAGAAGTCGAATATTTGAAAAATCAAGGAACAGAAATCGAAAAAATCGCAAAACTGAAATATCGAAAAATTAAATAATGTAACTACCAAGAAGTCGAAAAGTCGAAAAGTTGAGAAACCGAAACTGTCGAAGAAAAAAATTGAAATCGAAAATCTGAGAAATTGAAAGAATTTCAAAAATCTAAAAATTGAAAAATCGAAAAGTAAAGAAATTGTGAAATCGAAAAATAGAGAAATCGAAAGTGTCCAGAAAAAAAGTGAAATCTAAAAGAGAAGAAATCGAAAGACTGAAAAGTCTAAAAATTGAAAAATCAAAAAATCGATAAATTGATAAATCGAAAAGCTAATAAATTGAGAAATCGATGTCAAACATTTGAAAAATCAAGGAACAGAAATTGAAAAACCGAGAAATTGAAAAATCGCAAAATTGAAATATCAAAAAATTGAAAACTCGAAACATTGAGAAATCCAAAAATCGAGAAATCGGAAAATCTAAAAATGGGAAAATGGAAAATTCGAAAAACAGATGGAAATAAATGGAAATCTGAAAGTTGAAAAATCGAGGAACCGAAAAACCGTAAAATTGAGAAATCAAAACGTCAAAAAGTCGAGAAATCAAAAAACCGAAACTTCGAAAAATTTGGAAATCAGGAAACCAAAAATGGAAAATTCGGAAGACCGAGAGATCCAAAGAAATCTAGGAAATTATAGAATTTGCCGCCAAGGAGAAAAATTAACCCAATTTTCTAGAAGAAAAGGAATCGAAATCTAAAAGTTCCAAAAGTAGATCGAAAAATACAACACAAGAAGAAAAACGGTAACAAAATAGATAAGAACCCAGAACAGTACGAGAAAACTAAGGCTAAAATTCGTTCGAGAATACTTAAAAAAAAACAGTTTTCTGACTTATCGGAAGTTTGAATTCATTTAAATTTTTGAGATTTAAAGACTTTCTTTTTCATTTTTAAATTGTTCAGAAAATAAACATTCTTTTTTTATTTTCATGATTTACACAAATTTATTGGTAAAATTTGTAATCAATCTGAACTCTTATTTTCCAGAGGTCTATTTTCGTGTATCTTTGACGTTTCTTAACATCGGTTTCGAATTATTCGACTTTTCAATTTCTCGATTTTTATTTTTGATTTTTCAATTTTTTCTTAATTTTTCGATGTTTCAAGTCAGTTTCTCGGTTTTCAACTTTGAAATTTTTAAAATTTTTTATGATGGCAATTACTTCATTTTCACCTTTTAATTGCTCAATTTAGCCATTTTTGGATTTTTAAGTTTTTGAAGTTTTCCGTTTCTGAATCTTTATTTTTGAATTTTCAGTTTTACAGTTTCTCCATTTTTCGACTTTTAATTTTTCAATTGCACAGTCTTTCGTACCGTGTGTTTAATTTTTCAGTTTTTCGTTTTTTCAATTTTGGATTTTTCAGTTTTCCTATATCTATCACATAGAAAACGAAGAAAGTTAGTCACCATGATTTAAGAATGTTTTAGTAAAATTCTAATATGAGAAAGGACACAAAAACTTTAACTTACCACCAAGGAGAAAGTTTGCACAGAAGTTTAGAACATTCTAAGAGATGTTGACAACTTTCTAGAAGAAAAGGAATCGAAATCGGTAAAAAAGGAAATTCTAGAACAATCGATGAAAACTGGAGAAAAAGAAAACTAAAAGACAAAAGTTCCCAACAAGCTTGCAGACTTCAATTAAAACACCCCATAAACAACAACCCTTTATTCTTTCACTTTAGCCTTATTCCTACCCCTACATTTCACAATAACAGCCTCTGTACACCACATCAAAATAGTGACAAGGGTGACGCAATTCATAACAACAATACAAATAACATAGCTCCCGGTTGCGTCACGAAGAGCGCCCATGATGGGTCCCCCAACCAAAATACAAATACCATTAGCCAAAGTTTCTATACCTCCAGCAGACGCCAGTTTATCAGCTGACACATGGTCCGGAATAACCAACCACATGTAAACTTTCCGAACGCCTTTAGCGATTCCCCAGGTGAACGCAATCACTAAAAGAACGTAGTAATTTTTGGAGATAAGAAGAGCTAAAATTTTGACTCATCATAGCAAAAAACACTCAAATCGTAGTTGTTACTTACTGAATCTAACTACTGTAAGAATAGCGAGCGCGTAGACGTACATCAGTCTCGACGGTTTAGTAAAATAGTTGCCTATGTAGGGCCCCACGAAACGAAAAAGCATATCCGAGACGCCCAAAGTCGACAAAAAAGTGGCGATTTCGCCGGTCTTCAGCCCAAAGTCGTGAAGAATGAAAGGCATTAAAAGGGTAAAGTTTATCTCGGCGAACGTCGCCAGTGCCAATCCGACTAAAATGTTGTCAAAAACCGGGTCCTTGAGTAAATCCAAGTCAAAAATTTTGGCAATGTTGGTCAAAATCGTCCCACATAGAGTTTCCCGTTTCTTTTCACACTCTTGACTCTTCTCGTCTGCTTAAATTACCCACTTGATTAAGAGTGACACAAATGACAATAAGTACCCAAAAGTAGCCCCTCCTCCGGGTTGTTTCGCTCCTCCTTCATGTGCCACTGCACCGGCTGGAGCAACGAAGCCGCCACGAACACATGGGTGCAAATACCCCCATAAATCAACGCCACTTCTTGGGTGCTGTACACCCTCATCAACACCCTAATCAACTGCGGGACCAAAATGGGCCCGAACCCCGCCGCCGTCACCGCGAACCCCATCGCCACACTCCTCTTCTTCTTGAAGTAAAAATTCAAGGCCAGCCTCTGCGTGCTCTCGCTCATTTGCATACCCATCGCTGAAACTCCTCATCGATTAAAAATCCAGGCGAAATATGCGGAAGTACACGAAATGAGCCCCTAGGCGACCACGAAAAAAGCGAAACTCCTGCAGAACGACGTCAGCACCATGCCTAGAGTGAGCAGCGACGCCGCCACCAGCGCGATTCTCCTGCACCCATAGACCTTCAGCAGTACCCCGGTTATGGGCCCGATTAACTTCCCGAAGGCCGCGTTGACGTTGACCACGAGCGCCCCTTGCGTGGCGGTGAATCTCAAGTCGGAGAACTTATCCTTGAAGATGAGGCCGAAGCACTGGAGCAGCGAAAGAATGATGAACTGATCTTGAGGTTCTAGATATTTCTATTTGGAAACAATATGAAAGTGCTTTGGAGCTTCTAGTGTCTTTTTTTTAAAAGAATTTCATTAGAGGATATGTCATTTGCCAAAATCAGTTTAATCTTAGCAGGTACTAGGCCCGCCCACCCACCCCCTCTTTTCTTAGAGGGTATCTCATTTGCCAAAATCAGTTTAATCATAGCAAGTACTAGACCCACCCACCCACCCTCTCCTTTCTTAGGGGGTATCTCATTTGCCAAAATCAGTCTTATCTTAGTAGCTCCTACCCCCCCCACCCTCTTTTTTCTTAGGGGTATGTTATTTGCCAAAATCAGTTTTATCTTAAGAGGGTTTAAGAATTTTTACTTCATTTCCACACTGTATTCTAGAAGAAGTCTAAGAAGTTTATTCTGAAAGAAGAAAAATTTCTATGTCAGCGTGAAATTAAATTTAGAGAGTTACATATGACGTGATCTCAAAGAAATTCTAGAAGCCTTAAATGCGGAAAATAGAAAAGGCAATCAAAGAAGAAGAAAGGTGGTCTCAATGTTACAGAAGAACTTCAAGATAGGAAATCGAAAAATTGAGAAATCAAACACTTAAAAAGTTGAAAAATCAAGAAACAAAAATTGAAAAAACAAGAAACTGAAAAATCGAAAACATGAAGAATCGAAAAATTGAAAAATCAATATACCTTTTTTTTTCCAAAGGTCTATGTCCGTTATCTTTGACGTTTCTCAACATCTATTTCGAATTTTTCTAGTTTTCAATTTCTCGATTTTTAATATTTGATTTTTCTAAATTTGTAGATTTTTAAATTTTTCGATGTCTCAAGTCAGTTTCCGGATTTTTCATTTTTGAATTTTTCAAAAATGTTTTATTTTCAGTTCTTAATTGCTCAATTTGGCTATTTTTAGATTTTTCAGTTTTTAGATTTGTCTGTTTCTCAATTTTTTTAGATTTTCAATTTTAGTTTATTGATTTTTAATTTTTTTACACTTTTTCGTACTGCGCATTTTTGATTGTTCAGATCTTCAGTTTTTCGCTTATCAATTTTTAGAATTTTCAACTTTTGATTTTTCAATTTTTTTCCCTCAATTTTTCGCCTTGTAATATTTCAATTTTTCAAATTTTTGGGTTTTTCAATTTTCCCGTTTTTAATTTTTCATTTTCTCGATATTTAATCCTTCAGTTTTTTGATGTCTCAGTATTGCAGTTTTTCGTTTTTTCAATTTTGGATTTTTCAGTTTTCCGATACAATCGAAGTCGAAAAAATGAAAAATGGAAAAATTAAAAAACATGAAGAATCGAAAAATTGAAAATCAACATATCGAAAGTCGGAAAATTGAAAAACCAAAAAAAATCAAAATTTCGAAAAAAAATGGGAAATCAAAAAACCGAGATATCGAAACGTTGAGAAACTAATAAATCTAAAAAACTGAAAAACGAGAAATTCGAAAAATCGAAGCATCGAAAGAGATCCAAAAATCGGGAAATTGAAAAATCAAAAAGTCGAATGGTTGAAAAATCGAGAAATAGAAAAGACGAAAAATTGAGGAACCAAAAAAACGAAATGTTGACAAATTGTAAAATCGAAAAGTCGAAAAATCAAAGAACAGAGAAATTGCAAACTCTAAAAATTAAGAAATCGAAAAATTCAAAAATCGAAAAATCAGGGAATAGAAAAATTCAGAAATTGAAACACTGAAAAATCAAAAGGTAGAAAAATCGAATAACGAGAAATTGAAAAATCTTATATTAAGAAATCGAAGTTGAAAAATTGAAAGATCAAAAAACAAAAATGGAAAAAACGAGGAATTGAAAAATTACGAAACTGAAGTATCGAAAAATTGAGTAATCGAAATCCTGAGGAGTCGAAAAGTCGAGAAATTGAGAAACTAGAAAATCGAGAAGTCTGAAGTGGCGAAAAAAGGTGAAATCGAAAAACCGAGAAATCGAAAAAATTTTAAAAATCTAAAAATTGAGAAATCGAAAAGTCGATAAATTGAGAAATCGAAGTCGAAAATTTGAAAATCAAGGAACAGAAATCGAAAAAACGAGAAATTGAAAAATCGCAAAACTGGAATATCCAAAAATTGAAAACTCGAAACATCGAGAAGTTCAAAAATCGAGAAATCGGAAAATCCAGAAATGGAAAAATGGAAAATTCAAAAAACCGAAATGGAAATAGATCAAGATTGGAAAGTTGAAAAATCGAGAAATGGAAAAGATGAAAAATTGAGAATTCGAAAAGTCAAAAGACCGAGAAATCGAAAAATTGAAAAATCGCAAAACTGAAATATTGAAAAATCGAAACATCCATAAATTGAAAAATCTAAAAATTGAAAAATCAAAAGTTCGAAAAATTTTGAAATCCGAAAATCAAAACGTTAAAATTATAGAATTTGCCACCAAGGAAAAAAATTAACCTATTATAAGCTTGTATAAAAGTTTAGAGCATTAAAAAAAATGTTGACAATTCTCTAGAAAATAGGAAATCGAAAAATTGAGATCTCAAAAAATTGAGAAGTCGAAAAATCGGGAAATCGAAAAATTCAGAAATTGAAATATTGAAAAATCAAAAATTGGAAAAATTGAAATGTCGAAAAATCGGGAAATCGTACAACTCAGAAATTGAAACATTGAAAAAAAAAAGTGGAAAAATGAAAAGCAGAAAAATGGAGGAATCAAAAAGTTGAAAAACCAAGAAACAAAATCGAAAAAACGAGAAATTGAAAAATCGAAAACATGAAGAATCGAAAAATTGAAAAATCAACATATCAAAAAGTTGACAAAAAGAAAAACCGAAAAAATCAAAATTTCGAGAAAAATGTGAAATCGAAAAACCGAGATATCGAAACGTTGAAAAATTGAAAAATCTAAAAAAAATTAAAAATTGTAAATTCAAAAATCGAAACATCGAAAGAGATCCAAAAATCGGAAAAGTCAAAAATTCAAAAAGTCAAAATTCAAAAAGACAAAAAATTGAGAAACCGAAAAAATCGAAATGTCGAAAAGCTGTGAAATCGAAAAGTCGAAAAATCGAAGCACAGAGAAATTGAAAACTTTTAAAAATGAGAAATCAAAAAATTGAAAAATCGACAAATTCAGAAATTGGAACATTGAAAAATCAAAAAGTAGAAAAACGAGGATTTGAAAAAATCTAAAGTGTCGAGAAAAGAAGTGAAATCGAAACAATTTAAAAAATCTAAAAATTTAGAAACCGAAAAGTCGATAAATTGAGAAATAGAAATCGAAAATTTGAAAAATCAAGAAATAGAAATCAAAAAAACGAGAAATTGAAAAATCGCAAATTTAAATTCTCCAATAATTGAAATATTGGAAAATCTAGAAATGGAAAAATGAAAAATTCGAAAAACCGGGATGGAAATCGGAAAGTTGACCAATCGAGAAATCGAAAAGAGGTAAAATTGAGAAATCGTAAAGTCAAAAAGTCGAGAAATCGAAAAACCGAAAAATCGGACATCGGGAAATTAAAAAATCAAAAGTTCGAAAAATGTAGAAATCAGGAAATCAAAACGTCAAGAAATCGAAAAATGGAAAATTCGAAAGACCGAGAGATCCAAAGACATCTAGGAAATTATAGAATTTGCCACCAAGGAGAAAATTGACCTAATTTTCTAGAAGATAAGGAATCGAAATCTAAAAATTCCGAAAGTACATCGAAAAATACAATAGAAGAAGAAAAACGACAATTTTTCAACATTTTTATTTTATTCTCAGTTTTTATTGCTCTGTTTGGCCGTTTTTAAATTTTTCAGTTTTTAGATTTATCGGTTTCTCGATGTTTATTTTTCAATTTTCAATTTTACAGTTTCTCGATTTTTCAATTTTTCAAATTTTGGGTTTCTCAGTTTTTAATTTTTCAGTTTTTCGATATCTCAGTGTCACAGTTCAGAAAGGTCATGTCAGGGCAAGTTTGGTCAGATTACGTCAGGTCAGGTCTTGACAGGTCACGTAAGATCAAGTCAAGTATTGTACTCCCAGTTTAAAGTGGTTTTTATGATAGGTCCATAGTGTCGAAGTTGATGATGGGGACAATGGAGTAAATTCCTAGCTATAAATAAGAAAATGGTCGGTTTCTTGCAGGGCCGTACTTTGTTACTCAACTGATATTGTTCGTCTTGGGGTAATAATGAGGTGATAATGTTTATTATCTTGTCATAAAAACCACTTTAAACTAGGAGTACAATACATTAAGAATGTTGGAGAAAACTTATTTCTAAAGAAGTAGAAGAATTTTTACTTCAGTTCTACATTGTATTCTAGATGTCTAAGAAGTCTATTCTGATAGAAGAAGAATTTATATTTCCATGGAAAGTAGTAGAATTCAAAGAGATTCTAGAAGACATAAATACAGAAAAGTAGAAGAAAGCTAGTCACCATGACTTAAGAATGTTTTAGAAAAATTCTAATATGAAAAAGGACACAAAAACTTCAACTTACCACCAAGGAAAAAGTTTGCATAGAAGTTTAGAAGATTCTAAGAGATGTTGACAACTTTCTAGAAGAAAAGGAATCGAAATCGGTAAAAAAAGGAAGTTCTAGAACAATCGATAAAAACTGGACAAAAAGAAAATTAGAAGCCAAAAGTTCGCAACAAGCTTGCATCTCAGACTTCAATTAAAACACCTCATAAACAACAACCCTTTATTCTTTCACTTTAGTCTTATTTCTACCCCTACATTTCACAATAACAGCCTCTGCAGACCACATCAAAATAGTGACCAAGGTGACGCAATTCATAACAACAATACAAACAACATAGCTTCCGGTTGCGTCACGAAGAGCTCCCATGATGGGTCCCCCAACCAAAATACAAATACCATTAGCCAAAGTTTCAATACCTCCAGCAGACGCCAGTTTATCAGCTGACACATGGTCCGGGATAACCAACCACATGTAAACTTTCCGAACGCCTTTAGCGATCCCCCAGGCGAACGCAATCACTAAAAGAACGTAGTAATTTTTGGAGATAAGAAGAGCTAAAATTTTGACTCATCATAGCAAAAAACACTCAAATCGTAGTTGTTACTTACTGAATCTAACCACTGTAAGAATAGCGAGCGCGTAGACGTACATCAGTCTCGACGGTTTAGTGAAATAGTTGCCTATGTAGGGCCCCACGAAACGAAAAAGCATATCCGAGACGCCCAAAGTCGACAAAAAGGTGGCGATTTCGCCGGTCCTCAGCCCAAAATCGTGAAGAATGAAAGGCATTAAAAGGGTAAAGTTTATCTCGGCGAACGTCGCCAGTGCCAATCCGACTAAAATATTGTCAAAAACGGGGTCCTTGAGTAAGTCCAAGTCAAAAATTTTGGCAATGTTGGTCAAAATCGTCCCACATAGCGTTTCCCGTTTCTTTTCACACTCGTGACTCTTCTCGTCTGCTTAAATTAGTACCTGATTAAGAGTGACACAAATGACAATAAGTACCCAAAAGTAGCCCCTCCTCTGGGTTGTTTCGCTCCTCCTTCATGTGCCACTTCACCGGCTGGAGCAACGCAGCCGCCACGAACACATGGGTGCAGACACCCCCATAAATCAAAGCCACTTCTTGGGCGCTGTACACCCTCATCAACACCCTAATCAACTGCGGGACCAAAATGGGCCCGAATCCCGCCGCCGTCACCGCGAACCCCATCGCCACACTCCTCTTCTTCTTGAAGTAAAAATTCAAGGCCAGCCTCTGCGTGCTCTCGCTCATTTGCATACCCATCGCTGAAACTCCTCATCGATTAAAAATCCAGGCGAAATATGCGGAAGTACACGAAATGAGCCCATAGGCGACCACGAAAAAAGCGAAACTCCTGCAGAACGACGTCAGCACCATGCCTAGAGTGAGCAGCGACGCCGCCACCAGCGCGATCCTCCTGCACCCGTAGACCTTCAGCAGCACCCCGGTTATGGGCCCTATTAGCTTCCCGAAGGCCGCGTTGACGTTGACCACGAGCGCCCCTTGCGTGGCGGTGAATCTCAAGTAGGAGAAGGTGTCCTTGAAGATGAGGCCGAAGCACTGGAGCAGCGAAAGAACGATGAACTGATCTTGAGGTTCTAGATATTTCTATTTGGAAACAATATGAAAGTGCTTTGGAGCTTCTAGTGTCTTTTCTTAAAACAATTTCATTAAATTTCTCAGAGGATATGTCATTTGCCAAAATCAGTTTAATCTTAGCAGGTACTAGCCCCGCCCACCCACCGTCTCTTTTCTTAGAGGGCATCTCATTTGCCAAAATCAGTCTTATCTTAGCAGCTACTAGCCCCACCCACCCACCCTCTCTTTTCTTAGAGGTATGTCATTTGCCAAAATTTTTTATCTTAAGAAGGTTGAAGAATTTTTACTTCATTTCCATACTGTATTCTAGAATAAGTCTAAGAAATTTATTCTGAAAGAAGAAGAATTTCTATGTCAGCGTGAAATTAAATTTATAGAGTTACATATGACGTGATCTCAAAGAAATTCTAGAAGCCTTAAATGCGGAAAATAGAAAAGGCAATCAAAGAAGAAGAATGTTACTGAAGAACTTCAAGATAGGAAATTGAAAATTGAGAAATCAAACAGTTAAAAAGTTGAAAAATCAAGAAACTAAAATCGAAACAACAAGAAATTGAAAAATCCAAAACATGAAGAATCGAAAAATTGAAAAATCAATATATCTTTTTTTCCAAAGGATTATGTCCGTTATCTTTGACGTTTCTCAACATCTGTTTCGAGTTTTTCTATTTTTCAATTTCTCGATTTTTAATTTTTGATTTTTCTAAATTTGTAGATTTTTCAATTTTTCGATGTCTCAAGTCAGTTTCCGGATTTTTAATTTTTGGATTTTTGAAAAATGTTTTATTTTCAGTTCTTAATTGCTCAATTTGGTTATTTTTAGATTTTTCAATTTATAGATTTGTCTGTTTCTCAATTTTTTTTAGATTTTCAATTTTAGTTTATTGACTTTTAATTTTTTTACACTTTTTCGTACTGCGCATTTTTGATTGTTCAGATCTTCAGTTTATCACTTATCAATTTTAAGAGTTTTCAACTTTTGATTTTTCAATTTTGTTCCCTCAATTTTTAGCCTTGCAATATTTCAATTTTTCAAATTTTCGGGTTTTTCAATTTTTCCGTTTTTAATTTTTCATTTTCTCGATATTTAATTCTTCAGTTTTTTTATGTCTCAGTGTTGCAGTTTTTCGTTTTTTCATTTTTGGATTTTTCAGTTTTCCGATACAATCGAAGTCGAAAAATTGAAAAATGGAAAAATTAAAAAGTTGAAAAATCAAGAAACAGAAATAAAAAAACAAGAAAACATGAACAATCGAAAAATTGAAAATCAACATATCAAAGTCGGAAATTTGAAAAACTGAAAAAAATCAAAATTTCGAAAAAAATGGGAAATCCAAAAAAACGAGATATCGGAACGTTGAGAAACTAATAAATCTAAAAAAATGAAAAATGAAAAATTCGAAAAATCGAGGCATCGAAAGAGATCCAACAATCCGGAAATTGAAAAATCAAAAAGTTGAATAGAGAAATCGAAAAGATGAAAAATTGAGGAACCAAAAAAACGAAATGTTGAAAAATTGTAAAATCGAAAAGTCAAAAAATCAAAGAACAGAGAAATTGCAAACTCTAAAAATTGAGGAATCAAAAAATTCAAAAATCGAAAATCAGGGAATAGGAAAATTCAGAAAGTGAAACATTGAAAAATCAAAAAGTAGAAATATCGAATCACGAGAAATTGAAAAACCTTATATCAACAAATCGAAGTTGAAAAATTGAAAGATCAAAAAACAAAAATGGAAAAACAAGAAATTGAAAAATCGCAAAACTGGAATATCCAAAAATTGAAAACTCAAAATATCGAGAAGTTCAAAAATCGAGAAATCGGAAAATCCAGAAATGGAGAAATGGAAAATTCAAAAAATCGAATTGGAAATAGATCAAGATTGGAAAGTTGAAAAATCGAGAAATGGAAAAGATGAAAAATAGAGAATTCGAAAAGTCAAAACGCCGAGAAATCCATAAATTGAAAAATCTAAAAATTGAAAAATCAAAAGTTCGAAAAATTTTGAAATCCGAAAATCAAAATGTCAAAATTATAGAATTTGCCACCAAGGAAAAAAATTATAATATAAGCTTGTATAAAAGTTTAGAGCATTAAAAAAAATGTTGACAGTTCTCTAGAAAATAGGAAATCAAAAAATTGAGATCTCAATGTCGAAAAATCGGGAAATCGTACAACTCAGAAATTGAAAAATTGAAAAATCAAAAAGTGGAAAAATCAAAAATCCATGTCGAAAAATTGAAAAGCAGAAAAATGGAGGTATCAAAAAGTTGAAAATACAAGAAACAAAATCGAAAAAACGAGAAATTGAAAAATCGAAAACATGAAGAATCGAAAAATTGAAAAATAAGTTGACCAAAAGAAAAACCGAAAAAATCAAAATTTCGAGAAAAATGTGAAATCGAAAAACCGAGATATCGAAAAATCGGAAAATTCAAAAATTCAAAAAGTCAAAAATGTCGAAAAGCTGTGAAATCGAAAAATCGAAGAACATAGAAATTGAAAACTCTTAAAAT